ATTTTAACAAGAAAGGGAACATTTCCCAATTAATGCTTTAAGTATATAATTTTCTAAACAATGTTTCTAAAAATCACACACACACACACACACACACACTCTCTCTCTCCCTCTCCCGCCCCCTCTAAAACTAAAAGGATGTTTTCCGCCAGACTCTACATCTAGAATTTCAAAGGATCACAGTCCAGTGACATCCCTTAAGAACAGATTTTACTTTTTTAAGTGTATAAAAGTAAAAACTTCTCTCTTCAGAGCCTATTCATCACCCTCATGCCATGCCTGCATGGTCAGTTTCTGGAGGTTTGGACAAACGCACCCACTATCCCAGAGAGGTGGCGTGTGGACAACTGAGCATCTACCGGGGCCAACCAGATACCAGGCTGAGCACTGGTCAGCCTTCTGCACCTGGGGAAGCAGGTCTCATTTCAGTGCTGCGGAAACCCAAGCAGAAAGAAGTGAAGTCTCTGCCCCAAACCTGACGGAGTGGCAGCACCAAGGCTTGGACCCCAATTATGACTCTCCCACCAACCTGGCTCTCTTCCAAACAATATCCCACCCCAAAGCTGGGCCTCCTCTGTGGCCAAACAAGGGTCTCCGGAATTAGCACCATGGGAGTGCACAGATGTGGCCAGCAGGGTGAGAGCTCTGAATGGGTGCTTCACCTCTCACCCCTCGCGCCCATCCTAGAGCCTACCAGGGGCGGGGGACCCCTCAACCCTAACTTTCTCTGACAGAGAGTAAATGGGAGATTCAGGTGCATTTGGGCCACCATGGCTGCAGGGCCCTATGGAGAAAGGCCTCTGTTTCTGGCAGAAGCTAGTTCGACGTCCCAGGCTGCTCCCAGCAAGGCCTCCTAGCACAGAGCTGCGCAGCTGACTCTCCAGGACGGGGATCCTTCTCTCCTTAATCTTCCCCACAAGGATGACGTGAAGAAGACACATAGTGAATAATTAATTTAAAAATACTCACTGAGTAAGAAAGGAGATAGTTGCATGTAGTAGTATAAGAAGTCACCTACACTCCAATAGTACCTATGGTCAGAGAAATCAGCAGTTTGAATTCATTTACTAATGTGACTTTTAACACCACCACCATCTGGAACAAAGCCGCAAACGCATGTGACGATCTGAAGGACACACCTCAGGCCCGTGCATCTTTCTCCAAGGAAGTGCCCTTGTCCAGAACCCATGACCAGAATTAGTGACAGCATCTTAATTTCAACCCTATCAAAGTTGGCCATCTGGCTTCCCCAAAAACCAGATTAGATGAAGGACGAGGAGTGATCACTACCAGAAGAAAACAGAGGGACGAGAACAGGAAACAGCCGAGTATAGCACAGGGCCCGGTGCTGCCTCGAACATGCTCACAGCCGCAGTCATCCCTTGATATGCAGCTTCCAACTAAACCCCCGGTTCTCCAGTCTGCAAGTTGGTCATCTTTCCAGATCCTTCCTTCCCACATGTGGGGAGCACTAGGCACTGCTACCCTAAGCCCCCATGTCTGCAAAGTACCAGGCACTCACATGCTCTCATCAAACCCGAAGTGGACGCCCCAGGTGCCACACCCCTACCTGGGACAGGACTAGGATCTCTCAATATTTAATCTGAAGAAAATATACGACTCGAAAGAGGGTAGTCCACTGTCAGAACCATGTTACACGATTACGTAAACACAGTATAATAAACTCCACACAACACAAAGGTATCAGATCTCTCTCCAGGACATAAGTTCCCTGTGGACTTGACCTTACACTCCTAGCGGCAGCGGCGGCAGCGGCAGTGACTGGCACAGCACACACTTCCCTCCCGCCTCCTGCCAGGTAACAAAGGGAGAGGTGTTTTCACAGAAGCTCTGCACTGACTTAGAAAGCACTCAGCCAACACAGCAAGACCAGCAACACACACCTTCGAAGTAGAAATGAGAAAGCCCGTGATAAACATGGCTGTATCATGTTTATCATGACACGGGAACAGACGTGGGAAGGAGCTCAGTGGCCTCAGCATCAGGAAGAAAGTATCCCTAGTCACCAGCCCTGAGTGGTATTTAACTGCTCTGTAAGGGTGTTGAGTGTTGCTGCTTTATCAGCCTTAAATAGCACTTACACCCACTGAGTAAGAATTAACATGAAGCTCATGAGATACTTAGTGGATCTATGAACTCAAAAAGACATATGCAATTTTGCGTATATCATGCCATTTTTACCCAATTTTTAAATTATGTCAATAACACATAAATTTCTTTGTGCGCTTCCATAACTCAGGAGGATTTTCCATTTCCCAGAGTGGAGGTAGTTATTCAACACCCTTCTGCCCCATAAAACTACAGTGAACCTGATGTTGTCAGTCTTCAGTAGATCAACACCAACATTCACACCAGGACTGCGGACTGGAAGTAGCTGCCTGGAGTGTTATGGACGGAAGCTTCTAAGGCCATGTCTGGCTAAAGGGGAAAGAGCCCTTACTGCCCAGCGCGGAGAGACTGAGAGAGAGAGACTGGGGGAGGAGGCGAGAGATGAGAGGAGAGGTGCTCCTGCCTCCTGCACTGCTGTGTGTCTCAGACACTGCGTTGAGGGGGGTGTTTTGTATCTTTCAAAACATCATTCTGTTTCACAACTTGGTCTATTTAGAAGACAAAGCTATTATCAGAAGGATAACTTAATAAGAACAAGAACTGGATACATGATAAAATAACAACAACAAACCATTTCCACAATGGAAAACAAAGGATTAGCTAAACAAATGCTTAACAGAAAAGGGCAGCTGCTTCTTGTGCACACAGTTTATTTAAATCAGGAAACAGTTTCCTCTAGAAAAGAAAAAGGTTCCAGGCTCCAAAACTAACCCCAGTCACCATCAGCGTCAGTCCTGCCTTTCCTTAAGCTCTGTCTTTGACCGGAAGTCCCACAAGCGAGACCAACAAGGAGAATCAGGTGGAGGTGGGAAGGCAGCATGAGATTTTACAGGCAAAAAAACTCAGATGACTAATTAAATCATTACTTATGTGACACAGAAAGTAATCAATGCAGTAGGTCTATGTCTTTTGCAGTGAAGTTGCTGAGACAGTTCATGGGAACCTGGAGGAAGACATACTTGAACAGACATAAATCAGCAGTAAATCCCGACTGCTCGCATAAACAGGCCAAGGAGACAGGGACACGAACTTAGGCGAGGCAGCAGCACTGATGAGTGTGCAGAACGGGAGAGCACAGAAGACACTAAAACACTTGTTCGGGGAAGTTTCAGAAGGCGGCTCTTCGGCCGTGAACTCCAGCACTCCTTCCTGATCGATAGTTGTGGGCAGAGCTCGTGAGCGTGCTACACCTGTCCACAAAGGTGGGGTCCTCTGCCTGCAAGATTTGTTTGCAATGGTGCTGCCTGATTATACACCATGACACAACCGGAACAGAATATAACAACCTGATTATATTTCAAAATTCCTAGTGGAATTTTGCTCAGGAATAGAGGCAGAAACAACAGGAAAATTAAAAGCAACTGACTTACTTTTCTCATCAATTAAAGGGCAGCAACATTTTTTAAAAATCCTCACCCAAGGATATTTTTCCATTCATCTTCAGATAGAGTGGGAGGGAGGGAGAGAGAAAGAAAGAGAGAAACATCGATGTGAGAGAGACACATCGACTAGTTGCTTCCCGCATGATCCCAACCAGGGCTGGGGACCGAACTGTAACTGAGCTCTGTGCCCTTGACCAGAATCGAACCGCTGACTCGTTGGTCCACAGGCCAATGCTCTAACCACTGAGCCAAACCAGCCAGGGTGTGCAGCAACATTTTAATTAGGATCAAATTTCACTCCCGGTATGAATACAAATCACTAACTTGTCAAAAACGAAGAGATAAACTACTGATAGTAACCCATCTTCTCCTTCCTCAGCCCGGACATCTCTTGCCTGACCAAGAGAAACATCAAATTGAAGCTTCTGAGAACCGACTTCTAGTGAGCCTGGCCCACAACATGATCACCAAGACTGCTCAAAGAAACAATTGTGGGTTTTTGTTTTTGTTTTTTAATTTTGCATTTCTTTGGCTTTCTGGCTGTTTTCCACAGCGGCTATGTTATATTTATATATTAATACTGCTTCAGGACACTGATTGAAACCTCATGTGTATATTCAAGAAGAAACTTTCAAATCAAGAAACTCCAATTTAAACAAATGCTCTAAGGTCTGTTGCAATTCTCCCAAGGCGCTCTGGGGGTGCAAGACAAAATCCGAGGGGTGGAATCCTCTCACTTCCCAGCATCACGAGTTCTCCACGACCCGCTTGTGGCAGACATCAGGCCCTCACTGATGACAACGGGAAAACAGGTGTTTCCAAGGGGCGTGCGCTTGGTTTTGAGAATAACAAGTATTACTATCTTGACAGTAAATGAGTTCTGTGTTTATGGTTCATATGTTTTATTTAAAAAGGAAGATTATCCAGACTCTTTGTCATAATTATTCAGAAGTTACAAACATTACTTAAAAGAAACTCTTCAGAAGGACATGAACATTTTAATCCTCGAATTCACTAGCAATTTCACTAGATCTTAGAAAGCAAATCACTTCCTAGAAACCCTCAGTCAGCACACTTCACTCTGTAAAGGCAATTCATATCGTGTGCTCAGTGGCTGTCTCTGTCACTTTTTGTCCAAGATTAGGAGAAAGGCATGGATACTGACAGCAATATCCATGAACAAAACCTACCTTGTTCTAGTATATAGCTACTGTACAAACACGGTGATGAACAACATTCATGTCAGTTTATAGAAAACAATGCTAAACAGATGGGGATTTCATCCGTAAGACAAAGAGTTACCTGAAACCCCACGCTGCAGCCCGGAGCCCAACAGTTCACGTCCTTCAGGGCAGACATCCTTAGCCACCAGGAGTAAAGCCAGTGTTTCTCTGGGGCTCACCCCCCTTCGCCCCCTCCCTGTGGCAACGTGGTGTCCAGCAATCGCCCACAGCAAGCAGTATGCAGTGAAGACAGGTGAACACTTACCTGCCCGTCCTGTCCCACGTGGTGTATCTGTAGATTGCCCTGCAAAATGGATAAAAAAAAGAGATCAAGTACAAAAATGACTTCAAGACATAGCTGCAGAAACTTCTCCATGCCATTTGTGAATAACCAGCAAAACCATTAACACCAATTCTACAAAAACTCAACCCTTGTAGCAATAAAAACCCAAAACAAAATATTTAAGCTGAGTTTACAAGTTATTACTTTTTCTTATACAAAGAAACTTAAAAAAAAAAGTGTGTGTGTGTGTGTGTAGAGAGGAGAGGAGAGGGAGAGACAGAGAGAGAGAGAGAGAGAGAGAGAGAGAGAGAGAGAGAGAGAGAACCCCTCTGACCACAAATGCAAATATAATTTTTTTCTAACTTTCATTTTGAGACAAGTTTAGACTCACAAGAAGAATCAAAAGTGGTATAGAGAGAGGTGCATGTGGCCATCACCCAGCTTCCCTCCATGGGGACACCTTTCATAATAATAGTGCACTATCACAAACAGAACACTGGCAGGACACAATGGATTAACCAGACCACAGGCCCACTGGGATCTCACCAGTAGGAAATTAATTCACTTGTTTAAAAAACTAATACTTGCTTTAAGTTTGGTAGGTTCTGCTAAATGTCTCTTTGCAGACATCTTCATTTTGACAAAATAATTACTTAATTTTTAAATGAATAAGGTAAAGCTGTTTTGTGATAAGAAGATAAATGCATAGTGTAACTTATTACAAAGTAATCATTAGTACTATTAGCAATTTCTTCTCATTCACTGTATTCAATTCCTATTGGAAACAAACAAACAAAAAATACTGGATTATTTAGACAAGAGGGATCCAGTTATGAAAACTGAATAAAAGGGGCAAAACTGATTTAAAAAACTGATATTTAAGAAATAGTCTTATGATTTTTTTTAAGGAAAAACAGGATAAAAACAAATGTATGTTGATTATTTCCTTTTACTATTACATCAATTTTCCTTCTTTTCAAATGACTACCAGCAACTTAAGCATTCTGACTGAGCATACACACCTTCTAAGCTGACACCTTTCAGTTGTTGTTTGGCCTCCACTTGTCTGTGCCTTTAAAAACAAAGGCTCCCCGCCCCTCAGTGGGACACCCCCTTTAGTCTGCGGGTTTCCTGCACCACTCTGCACATTCCGTACAAACCACATTAGGGTGAGCTAACGGATTCCTCTCCCATCACCATCAGCTCCTTGACTTTGACAGTCAGGCCTTTCAGGACCATCTCCAAGTTCACTGCCTGTTGCTCTCCTTCCCCCGCCCGATGCTTTAGCCTCGCCAGCGCCCGTTCTCCCATTCAGTCATTTGGCCACATGACAATGAGTGAACTAATTATTCCTATGAATGCATCTAGCCTCTCCTTTGACCAGGTATTTATTCACTGCTCCTCTCATAGGGATTCACTCAGCCAGGTAGCCCTGTTCTCCCCTCAGAACCTCTGCTCTTCTCTTCCCTTTGCACGCTGAGCCCAGCCACAAACCTTGAGGGTCCACATGAAAGAACTTCCCCTGAAGGCATCCCAGAGCCCTCTCCCGAGTCCCCGCCCTCTGCACCAGCGAGTGCACGTCACTTCTGGCCCTCCTAGCACAATCGTCCTCTAACTCACATTGTCACCCAGTGGCACAGCCGCGCGGCAGCTGCAGGGCACCACGGCACGGCACAGGAGCTCGGGAGGCGACCCACTCCTGAGTCAGTGAGCAAATGATCGCCACCCCACCTCAGTCCCTAGAAAAGTCTAAGGGCACTAATGCCATATCTACTTAAAGAAAGCAGCCGAGGCTGCCACTAGAACGCGAGGAGAAATGTCCACAACACAGCTCTGGAAAGCCATCAGGCACCACTAGACTAGTCAAACGCTTCCCTCCAGAGGTTCTCCTGAAAGGCTCTTTGACAAGTCAGGACTTTCAGTTGCTGCTGGTTCTGTATCCACTCTCGCAGCTGGTGTGTAAGGAAACCGGACACAAATGTGACAACACACCATGGTGCAGGTCAGGCACAAAGCTGGCACTATCTTCCTGGCCTAGAAACAAGTAAGATCTTCAGCTCCCAGCCCACACGGCGAGGGGCATGCTGCTCCACACCACACTTGGTCAGCAGAGCACGTGTGCACTGCTCGGCAGTCATGGGACCAAGTCAGAGGGCCCCAAGCACACTAAGTCTGCTGATGCTATCCTGCACTGCAGGAAAGATCAACAGTGTCCCCAAAAGACAGGGCCACCAACCACCCATGCCCTATACAGGAAGGCTGAAAAGGCAAGGTCCTCCACGAAGGGCTCAGAGAACATCAGTGCCATGACCGGCTGGCCTCACCTTCCAACAACCCAGACGGTCTACCTAACCTTCGTGCCCAACCCCTGTGGCACATGACACGCATATGCAAGAGCACTTGTGCAGCTGGGGAGGACTCCTGCATTCCGCCCCTCACAGCTGAGAATCACTAGGAAGTAGAACGCCAAAGCACTGGGGGCTGCGATGAGAAGCCTGCTCTCACGAGCGTACTAAGGCAGCTGAGGCCATCTTGGAAGTGGCAGGAGTGGGCAGAAACATGAGAAGATGGCCTGAAAGCCCACGGGACACACACATGCTGTCTCACCAGATTCTCAACCAACACAGTATGGGCACTGGTCCTCCAGAGACAGAGTCGAAGCTCGTGGAGGTGAGGAGAGCCTGTGAGGTCTCAGTCGTGGGAGCAGGGCCACAGCTCCTGCTCTTCCCACTCCTGACACGCTGGGAAGCTCCCCAGGCAGGAAACAGGGCCAGAGCCATGCTGGGAGCTAGGTCTGTATCTCAAGATGGGAAGGGAAACGAGAGTCAGGTGGTCAATGCTGGATGTCATGTTGGCTGGGGACACTCACATCATTTGTCAAAGATCAGATACAGAAAGCCCATGGGCCTGGAGTGGGCCCTGGCAAGTGCTGGTGGTCACGACTCACCTCACTGTCCTGCGTGATCTGCACCTGCTCCCCTTGAGGCACCTGAGCGATGTGGAGGTGACCCTGTGGGATCCGCAGCGAGAGAAGACAACAAGAAGCATCAGAAGAAAATCAAAACCAGAGGAAACAAAAAATGCCTTCTGAAATTTTTGTTCTTGCTTTACCTTCTCACAATTCAAAAAAAAGACAACTAAATCCTGAATAGTGCAATATAATATGTGCATAGTATTAGCTACTAAATAGCCTCTTGACATTAAACTTTTAGTATATAACACACACAAAACATTTTGCAGTAATTCTTAAAGGAGCAATGGGGCCTAGGAAAATTCTGTAAAGTCTTTACATTTCCTTAAACCAAACAAATTTCAGAATGTGAAGGACATATAGAAATGAAGGGAAAGAGAATCTTCCAGAAAATTATAATAACTTTTATTTTTAATTGTACTATTAACTCAGAGGGATCAGGAACCTCATGGAGCTACCCACCAGGGTCTCCCAGCAGCCTAGGAATGCTGGATGGCTCCACAGCGGTGTGGGATTGTGGGGAGGGGAGTTATACATGTGCAACTACACCGAAAACAGGTCAGGTAATATTTTTTAAATCAAAGAAACACTTACATGACTATTGAAACAGCTGGAATAAACACTAATAGATAAATCAAAGCATCCAACTATACAATGCATTTATGTTTGTAGATACAGGTAAATAAATAACCCCTATAAATCTTAACTTTGCTCAGTGATATTGCTCAGTGATATGAATACCATGATCTTATTTAAAATGTTATCTTAATAAAAATGGAGCCTAAAGTAAACTACTGTAGAAATTTCTATTGATTTCATTTTACTCTATCTATGTGAACCCAGTATCCAAGTTATCTATTGCGGAATTCTTTCACAGAACTTTCTTACTAAGATAAGAGTAACTGCCTTTGTGACTGTCAAACAAAGAATTCATTATTTATAACTGCTTCATCTTCTCTGAAAGAAGAAAAACTTCATTTAAAAGTCCTCATCAGCACTTTCTGGAAGCCCACCCTTTCCAGGCAGTGTGCTGAGTGCAACCTCAAACTGAAGCCACTCAGATGGGATCACGGTTCCAGGAGAAGGCCCTGGTGATGCAGGCGTACAGCAAAGAGGCTGGGTGTGACTCAAACATCAACAGGATCCCAGGGGCACACTGAAAATGCCCCGTCCTCTAGCAAAGTTCCTGCCCCCCACACCTCGGCCACTGGACCATACAGGGTCTGGAGGAACTTCCACCTGGGCTGGCACCGTCACAGACAGAGCAATGAGGCTATGTGAGCTCACCGACAAGCTAAGTGCCCACACGAGCTCAGCACATGTCCACAGTCCAAAGGAAGTGCAACACAAAAACTAAGGCCACCAGCTTTTTCCATTGACCCCAGAAGGAAATTACTTCCTATTCCCCCAGTAAAAGGGTGCCTGTGTTTCCGAAATGAGAGCAAATCTATGACTCATCTATGACGCCTCCTGGGAGGACAGGCAGCAGCATGGACCCTTAAGCTGACAGTGACTGCTGGGTGCAGCACAGCAGGGGGGCATGAAAGGCCCTCCACAATGACATGGTCAACTCATAATCACCCTCATTATGAAACATAAGAGTTTGCACCCTAATTATTTCTACTTTAACATGAACTTTCCCCTCATCCCAAGCTATCCACGTGATCCAGAAACATAGGGAAAACTAGTCTTGGTCATCATGATCCCCACCACACCCTCCCCTCCAATTCCTTCATGGAGACAGACTGGCAGAAGGGTACATACTACTTGGACCTGTCCATCCTCTCCAATCTGGTGGATCTGGACCTGCTGGGCGTTGGCCAGGGCGTAGTGCAGGGCCTGTGGCGGGGGCTGTGGTATCTCACTGGTGGGTGGCGGCGTGCTCATCATGCTCTCTGTGGGAAAACAGACGGACTCAGCATCAGCCCAGCAGACAAGCCATATGTGGACATGTCCAGGCTGCCTCTGTTCCCCCATCCCTAACCCCCACACAAAAGAGAAAAGGAAATTCTTCATTCTGAAATCTAAGTCAACATGTCCCAATGGAGAGCACAGCACTTTGTAGAGCTCACTAGTAATCAGCGTTAGATAGAAGGAATCTAAAGAAATGACTGTTGCCCTGGCCGGTTTGGTTCAGCGGTTAGAGCGTCGGCCTGCGGTCCTGAGAGACCCGGGCTTGGTTCCCGCTAAGGGCGCGTACCTCGGTTGCAGTTTGTCCCCGGCCCTGGTTGGTTGTGCGGGTGGCAGCCACTTGATGTGTCCCTTTCACGTCGATGTTTCTCTCTCTCTCTCTCTGTTCCTCTCTCTCCCTCCCACTCTACCTGAACAAAAAATGGAAAAATGTCCTCGGGTGAGGATAAAAAAAAAAAAAGAAATGACTGTTCACTGACACAGACTATTCTCATTTACTAATTTAATGAAGTTCTTCAGGATATATCAACAAGCTGAAAAATAGGAACACATTTATATTAAATTCTTTTTTAAACCAGCAATAAGCAATATTTATTCTTGGATAATTGAACTACAGTAAAAATCTCTGCTCACTTATCTAGATACAATTCAAATAAAATTTTACTTTCTATGTTTAATCCAAAATGATACATTTGTTTTGATGATGTGTGTTGATTTTAATTGTAAAATCTCAATCAGAGAAATTTTCTTAAACACTTAGAACATTAATGGCTCAGAAAAAAATTTAATTATATATTTTGTTGCAGAAAATTATAATGTATCAATAAAAAACTTTTAAACATAAAAACATTATATTAGGATGCTATTCTATGAGAGAAGTGGAATAGTGATGTGAATGAAAGAAGAAAAGATATAAAATGTCTGGTTACTAACGATACACTTTCCATGTATTTTTTAAATAATGTTGGGCATCAAATTGACATGGTAAAGAGAATCCACTGCATATAGTTTTAAAAAGTAAGTAATATAGCAATATGCCAGAAATTACATCCTTCTAAATTATTTCAAAGTATAATAAAAAAATTTTAGGTGTCAACATTTTATTTTTTTTGTTAATTCTTAACCTGGGGATATTTTCCCATTGATTTTTAGATAGAATGAAAGGGAGGGAGGGAGGGAGAGAGAGTGAGAGAGAGAAAGGGGGTGTGGGGGGGAGAGAGAGAGAGAGAGATGTGAGAGGGACATGTTGATTGGTTGCCTCCTGCATGAGCCTGACTATGGCCAGAGATCAAACCTGTAATCCAGGTACATGCCCTTGACCAGGAATTGAACCCAAGAACCTTCGGTCTGGGGGCTGACACTCTAACTGCTGAGCCAAACAGGCTAGGACAGGTGTCAACATTTTAAAATGTCAACTTAAAAGACTACACTTTCAGGGATCATTTCTATAGTTTGTTAAAATGCCAACTTGAGCCCTGGCCAGTTTTTCTCAATGGTTAGAGCATTGGCCCTTGAACTAAAGGGTCTCGGGTTTGAGTCATGGTCAAGGGCACTTACCTGGGTTGCAAGTTGATCCGCAGCCTGGGTCCAGGTTGTTCGGAAGTCAACCAGTTGATATGTCTCTCTCACACTGATGTTTCTCTCTCTCTCCCTCTCCCTTCCACTTTCTCTAAAAATTAATGAAAATGAATCCTCGAGTGGGGATTAACAAAAATAAATATCAACTTGAAAATAACGCAAGGAAGAACACTTTTCACACATCTTTAAGAGGGTAGTGACCAAAACATTTAAAATCCACTCTGTTAGTTAATAAGAGCTATATAACTAGATTCCCAAATAATTTCTTCTCCAATGTTAATAAAAATCAACTGATTTTGCTGATTTTCAAAAATATAACCAAAAAGAACACCAGTGTCCAGGGTTCTAAAAAACCATAGAAGATAGGACTTGTGGGTATGATGGTCCCTAAACCTAAGATTCAGATTATTGATGTAATTTATACTATGACCAAGAACAGACCAAGCAAGACCTACGGCAAATGATGCAAGACAAGCGTGGTCATGAGGCCATGAGGCCAAGGGGCAGTGCTGAGGCGGCTCTGGAGCACAATGCCCACTGGAAGAGACTGAAGCAGAAAGGACAGGCCACCCAATGGGCCTCCTCCCTTACCCGGCCTGGCTCTTCTCTGTGCCCAGTGGAAAACCAGCTGCAAGAGCTGATTCCCTGCACTCTAAAATACAGGGCACTGAATAGATGCCCACCTAAGGTCATCAACTTACCAATGAGACCTGTGGAGGAAAATGCTGAATTATATTTTAAACAATAAAATGTAGCTGTAGATTCTGTGGGCGAGCAGCCTCATTCAGAACTGTCCCCCCAAGTCCCGCAACGCAAACTACTCCAGGCTGCTCCCCTAAGCGTACCTGATGCGCTATATGAGGACGAGGACGGCGTTCTCCGAGAGAAGCTCTTGACAGCCAGGCTCTGGCCTCGCTGTTTCCGCCGCCAGGCTGTCCGGCATTTGGAGTCTATGCTCTGTTTGATTCGGTACCAGTCTGATTCCGTGATTCCAAATTTATAGAAGAGGTGACCTGGAAGAAGACATCCCAAATAAAAGTACCATGAGATGAAGGCCTTCGTCTTGGGTCCTGGCTGGTTGGGAGCAACTTGAACACAAAAATGTGATTGGGACTGACAGCCTCCCCCACAGGCGTGCTGGTTATATGTTATAAACATTTATTTAACTTTTAAATAACTTTGACTGGATCTACCCACACCAGACGGAAAAAAGGCGACAAGCTAGGTGGTGAAGCTGTCACACACGAGCTTCCCAGATGCTCCACAAACTTGCTTCTCTCTTCTAACTTCCTGAATGTCAAAAATAAAATCAAGAATCCCAATAATTTAATCAAAACTGTTTTTCCAGACTCCAGCTCTGTTCACTCATGTCTTCCTGGCTGTCTCCCTTCCTTCCTTTTTTTTTCTTTTTTATCCTCACCCAAGGACATTTTTCCATTTTTTGTTCAGATAGAGTGGGAGGGAGGGAGGGAGGGAGGGAGGGAGGGAGGGAGAGAGAGAGAGAGAGAGAGAGAGAGAAACATCGACGTGAAAGGGACACATCGAGGGGCTGCCACCCGCACGACCCAACCAGGGCCGGGGACAAACTGCAACCGAGGTACATGCCCTTAGCGGGAACCGAACCCGAGTCTCTCTGGACCGCAGGCCAACACTCTAACCGCTGAGCCAAACTGGCCAGGGCTCCCTTCCTTCTTTGAGTCTTGGCTCAAATAGGACCTCAATAATCCTACCCTTAACCTGTCCCTTTGACCCCAAGGTTCCTATCACCTCCACTCCTGTCCTGGGTCTCTAACATTTTAGAGACTTTATATACATTTATTGTGTTTACTCTGTGTCCCTCACAGACACAGGGATCTTTGTTTTGTGCACCCGTGTATGCCAAGAACCAAGACTATCCGGGCCCACAGTAGATGCTTCAATACTCGATGACTAACTGGTGATTGCAGCTCCTCTGAAAACATTTCCATTGCTACTTGAGTCTGAGCCTGACTTATGGAACTTTCCATGTGTCTCCATCTGCCTCTCCGATCAGAATGGATACAGGTGATTTTTTATTCCCCTGAGCCTCGCACACCCAGATACATGGCATCACCTGCACTGAACTGCTGGCCACAGGGGCTGCGTCAGGCTTGAAGTGCAGCAGAGCATGCTGCGCTCAACAGAGCACCTTCCTGGCACCCACACTTGTTAACCTCTTACATCACAGAGAGCTCTCAATATGTGACTGAACAGCATTCAGAGACCCCCTATCAACAAGGAACCTGGTGATATGGGAGGCCACAGAGGAGTGGGTGGCAGACAGACACCCCTCACTGCCAGCCCTGCCCACCTCTCACTAGACCAGGCCACCTCGTTTTCTTCTATTTTTTATCCTTACCAGAGGACATTTTTGCATTTATCTTCAGATAGAGAGGGAGGGAGAGAAGGAGGAAGAGAGAGAGAGAAACATTGATGTAAGAGAGACACAGACGGGTTGCCAACCACACGACCCCAACAAGGGCTGGGGACAAACTGCAACTGAGGTACATGCCCTTAGCAGGAACCGAACCCGGGACTCTATGGTCTGCGGGCCAACACTCTAACTGCTGAACCAAACTGGCCAGGGCCACACCACCTCTTCTTTATGCCGAATCAACAGGAAGTAATGGTCACAAACATGGGAACCACAAGAAATGCTTCTGCAGGGTGACCTCCTCTCTAGCTGGCCCATGAAACTTCACTGATTAATGGAAAAACAAATGGGCAAAATTCAAAATTTGAATAATAAAAAGATTGAGCTGAAAAACATCCTGCTTTGACTATTAACAGCATTAAATTAGGACCATCAACTGAGAATTAACTTGATGCACAATTCCTAAAGTCTGTTCCTGTCAGGACAAAAACACCACAAATAATCAAAACAAAGAAAGTGTTTGTTCTCTTAAGTACTATATGAAGTATCAAAGTTTCTTTTGTCTTGAGAAGACATTTCTGGACTTCTTCTATGAGCATATGCTTAAGATATCTTTGACTCTAACTATAATGAAAACCACAATTTCTGTAGTCTAGGTTTTTTAAAAAATTGGGTTAAGGAGGGATAGGATTTATAGGATCAGAAAAAACAAAAATCTGAGGTAGTTTTAGCAGTACTTTGTAATCCTTGTGCATAAAAGGAAACACATAAATGAAGCAGCAGCAACTCTTTGCTTTCTGATTTTCATCTCTAAAATAATTACAGAATCATTTCTCAATACCTACTAAGTGATTGCTACATGCTGGGTATGGCTTTAGGTGCAGGGGGTGGCCTCACAAAGTTCTGGGCTAGTGACCAACTTTAGTGACAAGAAAACCCGGCCACTGCTGTAGTTGCATAAGAATCCAAATATTAACTGTAGTTGTGTAGTCACTGGAGAACTCAACTCCTGACTGTGGTCACAGGGCAATGTAACTATCAGAACTACAGTTATGCAGCCATAGGAGAACCCAACTCCCGACTGTAGTCACAGGGGAATGCAACTATCAGAACTACAGTTATGCAGCCACAGGAGAACCTAACTCCTGACTGTGGTCACAGGGGAACGTAACCATCAAAACTACAGTTACGCAGCCATAGGAGAACTGGCTGTGGTCTCCAAGACAAGAAAGGAAACAGCAATCATACACAGTATCAAAATATCTTCTTAGGTTATATGCTTCAATAAAGAGACGCATTCTACAAACCACCCTCCTATTCAACTCACACCTTCACACTCAAGGAAAAAAAACCTTCTGAATGCCTCAAGGGATTAATGAAATTACACACAATTTTAAAAACTTGTCAAGAATAGAAAATAATATACAAGACACACGAGGTATATAAATATAAGAAACAAGCAAAAACGTTAACATGTAAATGCAACTTTGTAAAAACCAATTTGCCAATTCAAAACCTGGCTTACATCCTTTGAAAGAAAAAAAATGCATTCATGTAGTTATACATTATCCATTTTTAAATTCTCCTAAGACATCATATTACATAATTCTTTCCAAAAGCAACTCAAGACTCAACTGGATGGCAAATGCCACCCTGATGACTGCCAAGAAAAACTAACTAATGAATCAGCAACACAAATGTTCCCTTACTGAGAGCCCTAGGGGAGGGAACAGGGGATGGATCCGAGCAAACCGGGCACCGTGCAGTCAGCTCTGCCCTCAGACACCCTGTGGCATCAGCGGGGCAGCTCCAGGAAGGAGCACCAATAGCAGAGGGTGCAGCTGCCCAACACTGCTGTTAGCACTTTTCCTAACGGGCCTTCATTTGAACTTAACTGATACTTCACACTTGTGGGGCATTTTATCTCTTAAGTTATTTGATGCTCGTAAGAAAACCTCATGAAATAAGAATGGCATTACCCTCACTTCAGTTGCAAGTTGAATTATCAGTTAGGAGTGAGACCTGGCTTTAAAATTTAAGCCTCCCAACGCCCACCCAAGTGGAGAAGAAATGGTCACAGCATAAACCCCAGGAGTGCTCCACTCTACCCCTCAACAACACCCAAGAGACCCACTGGGGGACACTTAGGGGACCAGGGAGATGACACCTGCCTCAGGCCACAGCCTCTGCTCGCTTGCCTCCCCTCCGCTAGGCTATCACCCTGGCTGCCCTGCCCAGGAGACACCGTGCAACTCTGAGGCCACTTCTGGTCCGCTGCTCCAGTGCCTGGGGTCCCTGGGGAGCTGCAAAGCCCTCTCCGCATCTCTGTGAGAGAGCTGTTCAGCGGGCAAGCCCCCTGGGCCACCCCCAGAAAGACGGCCCCTGTGAACTGGCCCCTGTCAGCTTTGATGGCAAGCTGCCTGGCCACCTCCTAAAGATCTGAAGAGTCCGTCACTGTGAACTGCCTCCGCACTTTCCAGAATGCCCATGGTTGACACGGGTGGTTTAAATCACAAAACCAGATTCCCAGCTCTCAAATAATGAGCCCCACAGAGGGGCTGAGACACACTGTGGGAACCAGAAACAGAGGAAATAAAATGAACAGAGTATGTAATCTCGCATCCTTGGTGGGTGGCATGGGGCTTATCAGTCACAAAGGAATGAAAAACACTATCTCTGCTAATGTAATCTCAAGTTCAAGGGGAAAAAGCAGAAAACTGAGTGCCAGCAATTTATTTCTTAAAATTACAGTCTTGACTTCTTAGTGACTGGCCTAGAAAAACAACAGAAATCTTCAGCTCTGAGTGAGGGGAAACTGGCCAGTGTGCTCCCTCAGGCGGTGGGCCCGCACGCTGCGCAGACACACCGCCGCGCACCCCGCGTACCCAGTGTCCCAGCCACAGGCTGTCGGGTCCCTCCCAGCACAGCGGCGTGACCTACAGGCAGGCCCCCAACTGTTCTGCGCCTCACAGGCCTTTTCTCACCACTAGTCCACACGGACCAAAGCTTCCTTCCACTCTCCATTCAAATGAGCACCTCAGCATCCCCAAAGACATGGGGTCCCCCCACTGAGAAACTGTGTGAGACACCACGTTTGACAACCAAAGTTCTAAAAAACCCAGGCCCTGTGTACTGTGCTGAAATGTCCCCCAAAACTCATGTCCTTCCCAGGACCTCAGAATGTGACCTCCCTTGGAAAGAGGGTCTTTGTAGATGTGATTAATTACATTAAGATGAGGTCATACCGGAGTACAGTGGTCTCTCAATCCAATATGACGAGTATCCTTATAAAGAGAAAAGAGACAGAAGACACAAGGAGAATATGGCCATGAGGACGGAGGCGCAAGAACAACATGCAGTGTGTGATGGAGACACAGGGAGAAGACAGCCAGGTGACAATGGAACACAGAGAAGATGGCCATGTGAAAACAGAGACACGGAGAACACAGCTGTCTGGGAGCACTGAAGGTGCCTGTGTCACCCAGAGTCTTCAGAGACAGCAGAGACTCAGAAGGGTGTGACAAGGTAGCCAATGCCCACTCGCCACTGTTTAAGCTCAGTGCTCAGTAGTTACATGCATTCATTTATTTGTTCCGTTTCTGAGTAACAATCAGCAATACAAATGAAACTGGGCCAAAAGGGGAAAAGGTCAACAAATACTTTTAACCTTTCAAAATTCCACCTGAGTTTTAACACTGAGAAGGCAGCGATTTGCAATGGTTCCCAAATGAGGGAGAGCTCAGAAGGCAGCCAGCTCCCCATGTGCAGGGAAACAGGACTTGCTTGTTCCCATGAGGCAGGGCCTTCCCCACACCACTCAGACTGACTGGGCACAGCATGTCCACTTGTCCCCATCCCATCCTCAAGAACTTCTGCCCTGAGTACCACCTGTCCAGCTTCCTCACCACCACTGTGGAGTGTTCTTTAAGCATCTGCCTAACAACTCGTGTATCACAGGCTGTACCCACATTCCAAGGCACCTCTCCAAATCAACAGCACCCCTTGCTGGCAGCCCTGTGACTCCCTACGGGAACAGTGACCCACCACCCACAGACCATCACACCTGCACAACTCTGGGCCCGATCCAGGCCACTCTCGGAGCCTGCACACGAGCCCCGCCCTCCGTCAGGGCATTTGCCTCCGACCGCTGCCACGTGGTGAACCTCCCTGTGACACACTCTTGAGGCTGCAGCTGCTCACACACATCTGACTGCACACCATGCAGCTGGGAACCGCTTCTTACTCATCTTTACATCCCAACTGCACCTCGCTGTGGGTTACGCTGTCACACACCGCCACGCGGTATCCTGTCACTGTGCAGACCCACGTATTCTAAGGTTGCATGCACATTTGTGCCATGCCCACAGATCTGAGTGGTGCCCTCTGCACTAGACAGCATGCTATAAAGCATGGGTTGTCAGACGGTCTCTGCTTGCTTTTGGAAGTCACGTTCATGGAACACAACCATGCCTATTTGTTTACATTTGGTCTATGGCTGCTTCAGGGCTGAGTAGTTAACAACACAGACTCTGTGCCTACAGCCTAACACATCAATGGCGTGTCCCTTAGGGAAAGTCTGCCAACTCCTGAGACACTGTTCATCTGAGAACTGCTTTACCCCCACCATGAGGACTAACGTCAGCTGGTTTCACAGCAGTTTCTCAGGACGCTACTCAGAGTGATTCTCAGGGTCTGAAAGGTCCACACTCCCAATGTCTTCCCCATGGGCTGGGCACCAGGCAACACTTACTAAAGGAAATGCTCAATGCAGAAACCCTCTCCTTATTCTGTGACTAGTTCTGACGCAAACATCCTCTCCGACCCAATAGTGGAGGCCCTGGCTCATCCAAGACACCCTACCTCGCAGAGCCCGCCCTCTAGCCAGGCCCTTCCTTAGGGAGGTGAGCAAAGAACAGGAAGCCCACACTTACACCGGATCCCATAGATGGTGAGGGGGTCAAGCTGCTTCTTGCCGTGCTTGCCCTGGCCCGAGAGGTTGGAGACAGCCTGCACCTCCCGGTGGAAGAGGTAGTCCAGTAGCGTCAGGGCCATCTTCTCGGCCGTGCGGCAGTTGGTGCTGATGTGCAGCATGTCGGAGGGGATGATGGCGCAGCGCACCCGCATCTCGGGGTTGTTCTCATCCCCGAGCCAGGTGCCGTTGGGGTAGTCCTCTGAAAGAGACAAGGGAAGCCTCAGACAAGCTCGCACACTCCAAAGGGCCCAGTGCTCAGCTCGAATACATGCAAGAAAGATCTGTGGAGGCTGGTTGGCAAATCGCTCCCCCAACTTCCCAAGTGTTGGCCAGGAGGGCTGGGGCAGCTTCTGGGGTCACAAAGCAGAGGTGTGGGGTCTTACATCTCATCAAGAACAGAAACAAGGACCTCATTCCCTAAGGACTGGCCTGGGAGTCAGTTGACCCATTTCAGGAAGATAAATGTAACATGTTGTAACAAGCAAATGTTTATCAGCCTTGGAGACTGGCTTTCACGGCGCTAAGCCCACTTGGTTAATGCACTTAAAAGCAGATAGAAGGCAGTGCACTGTGTTGCTGGCATGTTTGCCACCTACCCCATGGCCTGCCCAGAGCTCTCACAAGTCTGACAACAGGTGGATGCACAGGCCCCACAGTGCCGGAGGACAACACTGCCTGGACCCCACACACAGGCCTGTGTGTCTGCAAGAGGTGACATCAGACAAGCTCTAGCCTCAAACCCTGGATTCTCTTTACAACTCCAGCAGGGTAGAGAACTTTTAAAAAGACTGGTGTTTGTTTTCAACTTCACACTGCATCTAGAAGGGCAGCAAATTAGCGTGGTCTCAGAGTGCCAGCATCAGGGACTAGAGAGGGAGGCCACTCACAGAACACACTCGCAATACTGTGTTGGGAGGACTCTGTGACTCAAGTCTCCACTTGGAACTGCTCTGAGAAGGGGCCGCTTGGAAGCTGGGCACATCCTAAGTGAGACAAACTACTTACATGATGTAAGCTGTTGTTCTGACCTGCTGAGGAGCTGGGCAGCAGCCAGCTCAGCATGAAGAAAGGGCTCAGGGGACGCTAAGCTTCCCACACTCCTCTCCTCGCTGAGCCCTTCCACTGTCCTGCTGTGTGACCCTCACTCCCTCCCCCTCTCCCTTGACCTCCCAGCCGTGAACCTGCCAGTATACAGATCACCTCCTGCCCAGGGCACCATGGTCCCTCTCCTCTCCTCATGACATTTCCTTTCCGGACACTCATTCTCTCCTTAACACTGTGGAATGCGCCATTTGTGATTTTAAGATCTCAAAGGTTACTAATAGCAGAATGAACACCCCTAAGCCTTGCGTCTACATGCCCCAGTCTTTGTCTTTCTCAAAGGTCGCCTAAAATGCAAATAGCCAGAGCTCAACATTCATGTGTGGGAAGGACCCCACTCTCTCTCCCTTCAGCTAGACCACAGTGATCATCACGGGTCAGGCATGAGGCTGATGGAGAGACAGAGGAGGGAGGACAGGGAGGTGGCCAGCTCTCCCTCCCACCCAGAAGGAGAAGCACCACCACAACCCAAAAGAACTATTGATTCTGCCAGGAAACTCGCAGCTTTCCAAACAATCTCCTCTGACCCTAGTGTGGAAGCAAGTTAAGGTACAAGAGATAGCCTCAGTGCAAACTGCCGCTGAGGGAGGGGAGGGACGCGGACAGGGAGCGTGAGAACCTCTCTCTGGCTGGCCGGGGCCTCAGAGGGACACCAGCTTTCTGCTGAGTGTCCACGAGGTCTGTGGGCCATCAAGTCATGTCACAGCCACAGGCATCACTGCTTCACAACATCTCACTAACTTTGTTCTGAAACGACTGGATATTTACATTCCAGCTTCCATGTACAGAAGAGGTCCCCAGAAAGGGTGGCGGGCCTGCTTTGCTTTGCCAAGGCCTGGAGCAGAACAGAAAACCAAGCGGCTAGCTGTCTGTGACTCTTACATCCTGCCCCCTTCACAGGCAGCCTCTCCCAGCCACACTTCTGAATCATGAGATTTCCAGGAACATCAGGCAGGGCTTAGCAACCCTGGCAAGATGACCCCATCGCCACTGGGGCAGACCGGCAGCTGGGGTTAGGCTCCTGGCTTTGGCTAAGGCCAGAAAACAAATCACAAATCTAATTTTTGGAACTCAGACTGATAGATGAGTAAGTAGTATCATTTCTCAGAAACATTGATGGTTTGGAAGTGGAGAGGTGGGACCATGAGCACATGCTCACATGTATGCCTTTTTCTGAACGCCAGTCAGCTACTATTACCTTCAGCCAATCTACTGACAAACAGAATGAACACGTGACCTAAACGGGATGCAATGGGACTTCTAGAGGGGCTGTCTTGAGGTCACAGCTGGAATGCCAAAAGGGTTACCAACCTCTAAGGAATTTATTAATTTATCTACAAATACTTGGCTGGGCAACTCTAAGCCTGGCACTGAGTCTAATGCTAGGGATTTAGACCCTCAGTGAGTCTGGAATCACAGACTCAATTACACCAAACAGAGCAGAAGAACCACCCTCCATCTGCAGCAGTCAAGCCATGAAGCAAGAAGAGGGAGGGAAGTGGGAGGAGAAGGGAAGGAGCAGGAGGAAAGGAGGGGAGAGCGAGGGGATGAAGAAGGAGAAGGGGAGGAGAAGGGGGGGGCTGCTATAGAGAAAAGGACAGGTGCTGAAGCAGGAACAGGACAGTCTTCTGGGATCTGGAATCTATACTTTGGTTCAAGACATGGTTAGAGACAGTTATGAACTCAGAGGGACTGAATATTCAAACCAGAGTCCTCGGGACAGGATGCAGAGATGTGCCCCAGACACAGTGACCTAGAGGAGCACAGGAGGACTCGGAGCACTGAAGGACAAGGGGCTGGAAGGCCATCTATGCTTCTCCTCATCAGTGGGAGGCTCCTAAAAACAGACCCACCAAAACACACCACACTGAGTGCCAATCAGATCAAGCCTCTTGAAGACATTTAGCACCTCATGATCAAGGGTCTTGGAGGAGTGGAGGCTCGGATTAATGAGGAACGTGCTAGAATGCAGGATATATGAGATCCTCTCGGTGGCTGGCTGCCTCACCAGCTAAAATGACAAGGGGTCAGGCTTCTTCACACTTGGTTCAGAATCACCTCCTCACTGCTCTGGGCCAAGCTGTAAGTGAACACACTGAAATCCTTAGACACATCTCATGCACATCTGAGAAACGGGTCAGCCGGCAGAGCTGCCCATACTGAGCGGAAGAGCAGAGGGGAGGGTGGGTACAATAAACAGAGCAGTGGCAGCTGCAAGACAGGAAGTATCACACAGCAGGGAGGCAGAGCTGACCTCTTCAGATGGAGACCAGAGCCAGCCTCAGTAGCGACAGGACTGCAAGCAGCCACCATGGGCAGAACCACAGAAGAGGTTCCAGAAGAGGGAGTATTTCGCACCAACCTGGGCTGGGGAGGTCCATGTACTCTGGGAATGAAGTGGAGTGGGTGTGGCCAGAGCAGGAGGAACTGGGCAAAGGACTGAACAGGGAGTGACACAATCTGTGCTGAGAACCAGTGAATGGGAGACAGGGCAACAGAGAGCACAAGCGGCCACTTCTGGGCTACTGAGCAGTCCAGGAAGGACTCATGCACATGAGCATTGAATCTCAGGACAGGATCTATGGTGGGTGAAACCTCCCATGTTCAAGCACTGATGCTAAGTGACTGTGAACACAGTCATTCCAAAGGTGCTGAGAATCCCACGTGAGCCCACAGGGAAGGGTGGCAGCATCCTGAACTACTAGGGGTACTGAGCGATGCTACCCTGCCTCGCCGACGGCCATCGACACACAGCACACAGGCCAGTGCAAAGGCGGTGAGCGGGGGCTCTCAGCCTAACTAGCAGTGCTGCCAAAGATCCAGTGGTCTTTCCCAGGAATAACAAGTGCAGCGAGGGCTGCTCAGCAAGCTCCCCGTGTTTATATAACATATTTAAAGCAATGTAAACACTGGACGAGAGCTCAGTGTTGTTTTCCAAACAGCAAGTCAACACCTTGTCAAAGTGTTACTGAGACTGTATGTGTGGAATGGCAGCATGGCAGCCCTTCCTTCAGTCAAGGGCTGACAACTCGAGGTCTCTGTAAATGCACCATGAACCTTACTTCTCACTCCATCCCCGAGCACCAGCTTCCATCGAGCTGCCCTCCATCCCCATCCTCTCTTCACCAAAGCCGTGCCCTCTGCACCGTGCCGTGCAGGCCCTGCACAGCCTCTCGAATCACAGGCTGGGGACAGCAAGGTGGCTTCTGATGCTCACACACCTGTGCTAGGAGCACTTCACCTTGTCTAAAGCTGAACCAGCGGCGTGCAGGAGAAAAAGCCATCCTTCTTCCAAGTGTCACCCACTGAAAAGCCTCAAGGTTCCAGGAACAATTAAGAAAACATGCCCACAGGCAAGCATTGTGACTTTCCATTTACACAATCGTAGAAAACACATGTGTAAAGGCAGATATTTTCAAACTGATTCAAGAGGAAGAATTAACAACCTCACTTCATCTAGTCTACTTAATTCTTTTGAAGGCAAAATATGATGTTAAATTAACAAAAACAAATTACAAATGAAAGATAAGCTTCTTTCTATATAAAAACTAATAATCAGTAAAACTGATTAATCGGAACTTACTCAGGGTTCATAGACTAATCTCTGCTAATTGTGTTGCAAAGATACTATCAAAGGCCCCGTGTGAAAATTGCAGCAGTGCCCGCTCCGCTGAGGAAGTGACTGTCCAGGGCGGACATGGGACATGTGCACTGAGCGGGCTGCTTCCTCACTGGGCCCATCATAAGGAACGATGGCCCTACTTCCCCGCTGACACCTGCCTAAGAAATCTGGTCCACAGTGCTACGTAGATGGACTTCCGGAAATGTGACCAGAATATTCTGAAGGATAAACAATGTCCTTTAAAACTCCTACAGTAGTTGTTATTTTGGGGAATATTGTTCCCTTCCCCCCCAAAAGAAATTAGTCTAAAAATAAACTTTCTTTATGTTTCCCTCCCTTATCATTCCAGAAAACAATAGCTTAAATTTCTTTGGTAATAGAGGAAATTATCCAGAAATTTTATTTTCAATCAAGTATCTCACGATTTTAGAAGGCATTTTATAACTTATTTATAACCTACTCATTCCTGATTTCAC